TAAACAATACACACTCGTTGTGCGACCGTGAGTTCTTTTGAGTTGAGTATCGAATTCGTGCTTCCTTACGTTATTTATCATCAGCACCGTTTCTCTTTCCTCTTCTTCTCCCATGTGCAGTTTCTTTTCTCACGCCTCTTTTGTCTCTCCTAGATCATATCGTTATTAAGATAGGTCATAGGCGGCAAGAAACTGTTTCTCAGCTTCAACTAACCGTTGGTTGAAAATAACGATCCAGTCTAGCTTCCGCTTCAGACATCTGATACGTTGCTTGTAGAATCCTTCCGGACTGACGACATGGAAACGCCGTCGTCACAAGGCGGGTGACCGAAGAAGCGTTGACCTACCGATGCATATCGAGGAAAATAGCCTGGGCATTTTTCCTATGGACGGCGATGATGTCGAGGTAGTTCCGTACGTGTTGCCGGACGAAGAGACTGACACCGATGGTATACCATGGTTTATTTTAAGCTACGTTTAAGATTAAATATTTATTAGGTAAGTATTCATTAAGTAATTAATGCTTTGAAAAGCTCAGTAGCCATTTGTGTAAACTACCTGTTTAGTCATATGATTTTTAACTGTCCCTAAGTAGACTGACCCTCTGATCAAGTAGTCGGTAGAACGTCAGACTCAAAAACAGGGGATGAGTCTAAGTTGAAGCTTCAGTCAAGTTATTGTCCTTTCGTCATTCTGAGGTCGATAACCGGAGGTACGTTGTGGGATTGAACGCAGGAGGCCATGCGCCATGCTTGCGACATCGTTTTAGATATTGCCTTTACAATGATTGCGTAAGACTGTAGATCAGCGCCGCCCCGTTAGGCACCATGGAAAAAACGATGCCACAAATTGCGCTCTAATGAAATTGTGAGGCATATGATCCCTCAGTTAGACTGTTGTTTACGAAGACCTCATGCTTTGTATGATTGTAGTTAATATCTTTGATTATAGGCGTGGTTTAGATGGTAAAGGTCGTTCAAAAACCTTCTTTAGGATGCTTATTCATTCTTAAGACTCTTACAGGAAATCCATGAGAGTAGCGCCACCGTGACAGGCGTCATTTGGCTGACTCCTGACGATCACTTTCTCATTATTTCCCTGATCGATTTTGAATGTTTCCTCCTCTTGGTTACAGTGAAAATTTCTCATGAAAATTCGTTTTGTAAAAATTTCTTTATTCATAAATGCAAATTACAACTGTCCATTTTCGTCCATGACGTTTGTCTGTAGTAATCCAATGACAGCATCTCGATTGACCGTATTGTCATTGTATTGCTACAAATAACCGTCGTTATTCGCTTTAGTAAATTGTAAGCTTTTCGTATATGCTCATGATCAGTCAAAGTATGATGACTGGGATGTGTTGTGAGGGTGATATAAATTGTAAGCAGTAATATCTTTGCGAGTTTACTGAGTTTGACGATATTATGGCCTTTATAGCATTAAATTAAACTTGTTGTCTCTGATCCAAGTTTTGTGTCGGTGAATGGCTCAGCTGAAGTTGTATATTACCATCCAGAGTAATAGTTTGTCAGTTCGGCTATGCAGCGAATTGATTTACGATTTTACTAAGCCGCCCATAATCTTGAACCACAGCATTGTTTCTTGCATGTTTAAGGCTCTGACTTTGAGGCATTCCGAGGTTTAGACGATAATGCGGTAAAATTCTCACATTACCTTACGGATTTTCAGTGCATACCGGTGTAGACTAGTCCACAATGACCAATTTGTTACAACACGCATGGTTTTCTCGGTAACCGTTTAGTTTTAAACAGATACTACAGGCGCGAATGTCGAGTGTAGGTTCTTCATTGTATAATACACAAAATCTTTTATAGCAGTTTGTACGAGGTTGTAAATTTTGATTTCCAGTCTAAATCTAAAGAAAGATGGTGCATCATGTACATAGTTTAGGGAGTAGTTTATTTTGACCAGTAGTATCATAAAATCTTGTGTATAGGTGACAAATTGTGACTTGCAGGGAATTAGAGTCAGACTACTATCAAGCCTTGTTTATACGTGTATATGGTTTTGCAGACGAAGTAATGAACAAGCATCACTTGTCGACTCAACAGCTAAAGCCTAAAGATTCGCAGCTAGGCACCTCCCTGCCGATCCTCATTCCTGTGTATCGACCGGTGCACGGTTGTTCCCGCGTGCAGGAGGTGAGCGACGATGTTGGCAGCCCGGTGAGCTCCAATGACGGCGACCACGGTCACTGTGTGGACGTCGCGGCCAGCATTCAGGCGCTGGCACGTTCCATCCAGGCGGCTGACGACCCCGAGAGACTCTTCGGAGAGCTTCCCCAACGCCGTCGCTGCACCATCGACGAGGCTAATCTGCCGCAGCGTTTCCACGCCGTCGGTCTGCAGTCGCACATTGGTATTTGACCGGCAGTCGTCGCTTCGGAAGCGAAACGACAACCTCGTCATTCGTCCTCCACCGAAGTCTCATTAAGCGTTCATTGTGACTTTTTGCGAAAAAAAATTATGCCTCACCCGTTTGTTTCCGGAGTCCTCTGTGGTGACCGTGTCCTCGCTTCGGTCGGCTGGTCGACGAAGTCTATTTTTTGTGCTTTAAAAAATCCGATTGATTTTAGTTTCATGTTTCTGTTTGTTCTGATGAGATCGGTAAATTGTGTGCATTTTTCGGTGGTGTTTTCGTGCGAGTTAGAGATTGTTTTGGACGAAGCAGCTTTCCGGCTGCCGAATCACTGTTCGTTGTGAAGTTATACAATCGCATATCCGCTGTGCAATAGTCAAGACAGAGTCAGTACCTTGAGTCATTTTTGTTTGTTCTTGCGATTGTTCTAATGATTAAGTTTTCGTATGCGCTAAGCTGGCCGAATTTCGCCGATGTACAGTTAATCTTTTTAGTAAAACCAAAGGATTCCTGCATTTGCACTCACTGTTAAATTTGTGAGAGACAACACATCAATTTCCTTACTAAAGAGATGTGTTCCTCGTATTTATCTACGGAAATGTAACGGAATGTTACAAGGCAGCCAGTTAAGTAAATTATTTGTAGGTGTACAACCGCTTGACGTCTGTCCCTTTTTTTTAAAGTTCATCTATTCAGACTAAATCTGATTTTATAGTGGCGCATCCTTAATAGGAAGAAGAGCAAGGCGTGTATTTACCTACAGTTAACTCGTTCTGCTATAATCCCAATTCAGCCTTTTACAGTACTCCATTCTTTTTAACTTGGACATCGAAAAGTAGGTTGTTGCGTTTTAGTTATTTTCATTGAAACTGTATTATGGACTCAAAAGTCATAAATTGGTGACATTCAAAGATATCTGCCAAGGAATATCTGTCCCTGCAGCCCATCATGACGGTATATTAGAATCACCGTTGGGTAGCTTTGACTGCGCCACTGGCCCAAAATTGGTCATTTGTTGTTCTGGGTAACTGTTTCTCGCATGAATGACAAAAAACAGTACCTTACCTTGACGAATTCGGCTTCGTAGGAGAACCGGTTCATAAATGATCTTCAGTAGCAATCCGACGCCGGAGGAAATCGGTAGTGTCGAATAACGCCATATATCCTCTTTCGGATCGAGGTTACACTGTTATTCATCTCAACTCAACCATATCAGTTTACGTTCATGGACTTCGTTGCTATAAAACCGTGGATATAAATGCAATGGTGCGACTGCGCGGCACAAGTCTGTGAGTATCCACCGTTGGACTTTTGGAGACATCCATGTAAGAAAAACTAGAGGTAGGAAATTAAAAACAGGAGAACGATGGATGTTCGGTGACGGAGTATTTGCACCACAAAGTAGAGGCATGTCATAATGAAGAATGAAGAGAAATATTCCAGAAGCCGTTAGACAAGATGAATCAGCAAGAAGGAACAGTTTGACTTGGATAGCATTGCTGCGGCTTGGCAGTCATCAGTACGTATATGTCTATTTATGCCCTATTTCGAAGTGTATCTGCTTTTTTATGGTCAGACATACCACTTATGTCGCCATTTCAAATCGAAGTCATAAACCCGGTACCAACGAAGTCTGCGTCCAAAGGGAAACAGTTACATTAGGAACCTTGTCTACCCTACCAGTGACTAGCGTAGGATTGTGGATCACTCGAATTTTGCTCTGGATTTGACGACAAACGCACTCTCAATTCGTTCTAAATGGATTTAAATAGTTTCACGTCAGTCTGTCGGTAATATTACTGTTGACAGTTCCTCTGAAAGACACGCTATTTACTCTAAGAATGCAGTTGTTCGTTCAGACACTGAAATATGATCTTTCTACATTAGTAACGAAACAAGTCGCTGTAAGGCTACTGGAGTTAGTGCAGAAACATTTTGACGCTAGGCCAGATCTTGGTCAACAAGCAAATGACCATTTCAACCCATATGTAAAATTAAGTTTGTTAGACAGGCACATAATTGATGAATAAGCGTTGCGTATGATTAAAAAGTGTTAGACATATAGCATTAAGACATTATAACGAGACAAGCAATTAACGTTCGAATCTAATTTCTAAAGTCAAACATCATACGCAAAAAACAAACAATATTCATCTCATTTTACCCTATAATTCCTGAAAATCAACTTACAGGGAATCGACTATTCGTGTAAGAATCCATGATCAATAACACGATCTTAATAACGAGGTGCAAGCGTCTTATTATGGCAGCCTTCGGATCAAATTTTGTAGCAGCTGAAAATGGACAGGAAGGACTTCGGCGTCAAGAAGATTATAGCAGTAAACAAAGAGAATGTGGGATTTGTTCAGTTCCAATTTTGATGTCCTGCTTCGTCAAAACGTCGGTCGAAGACAACGATTGAACGTGTTGAACATTTTTATGTTATTGAATGCCGATGTGCATCATTTGTACCTTTTGTTCATTGTTCCTTTGCTCTCTGCCGGCGAAACCTCGTCATAAAATTTGATAGCCATGACCTTCCGAAATATTGATTTGCTTGACTTGAAAGCACCTCTTGAAATGCCTTCAGAACTGTACTAAAGTATCTGTTCATCAGTCACAATTCTGCAGTTAAGTCTAGTCCAAGTTTGCCACCACTGCTAATGGACTTGTTAATCGAGTGACGAGAATAACGAAACTTATGTGCGTGCAGGGTAGCGGATATGAAACTCAATTTTTGGAAACGTTTTGGTTTCAAAGATTGACTGCTTTTGCCGCGTAAACGAAAAGAAAACTAACGAATGGACAGAATTTTTCGCAGCCAATTTCAAAAGGTGTTCATGTGCTTAAAGTAAATGGCTTCATTTGCCGAACACCGTTAAATTTTGCCTGTTTCATATTTCTTACTAATACGCTGCTGGAGACGGCCCAATAAAATAATTTCTATAAAAATGACGTGTTTATTTATCATTATATTACTGAGCAATTTTAAAAATTAAAATTTTTTTTATAGCGCGACTGGTAGAAAACGAATAATCCATGGTGCTGAAAAATCTAGCTATCAGTCAGATCTGGACAAGGACAGAGATTGGCAGAAACTTGTGAAGATAAAACCATGAAGCATGAGAAGGAAATTTGAAAGGCCTTCTTCCTCCTCCTCCTCTTCTTGTTTTTCTTCATCTTCCTCCTCCTCATCATTATCTTAGCCCATTCCATCTGATGCCAACACGACGCGGGTACTATACAGGGATTTCACCTCAGTCGAATAAATGCATGATCACTTATCATTCTTTACGATGTCATGTCACTTCTAGTAAGGTCTTCCTGGTGGCCATCTGCCATCAGGCTTTACGTTCAGCATTCGCTTCATAGGGCGGCTATCGTCTATTCCTCGACCATGGCTCCACCGTCTTAAACACTTTGTTTTGCAGCCAGTCGATCCGGCAGTTTCGATACCGTTCTAACCTCTTTCTTACAACAGCATTTCACGCCGAATCGC